CTCACTGTGACACTGACGTGTCCAACTCACTGTGACACTGACGTGTCCAACTCACTGACACTGACGTGTCCAACTCACTGTGACACTGACGTGTCCAACTCACTGTGACACTGACGTGTCCAACTCACTGTGACACTGACGTGTCCAACTCACTGTGACACTGACATGTCCAACTCACTGTGACACTGACATGTTCTACTTCCCAATTTGTTTTTTAGGTGGAAAGTAATCGTAAATATCGATGTCATGTTGTCAAACCAAAAGTTGCTGATTCTACTTACATCAATGCTCGCAGTGTATTTGAAAGAATTCATTTGCCTCAAGGACGCTACGTTCTTGTTGCGACAACATTTGATCCTAACGAGGAAGGCGATGTAATGTTTCGTATTTTCAGTGAGCATGATGCAAATGCCAGGTAAGTCACAGTTTTAAATGCTTATATTCTCTCATTTGGTAAACTGAAATTCACATTTTATAACAAAATAATTGGGGTCACAACATTTTAGTTTGTGCCTTAATTCACACATACAGTAGCATACAATTCAGTAAATATTAATATAGCATTGAATTTCTAAATTCCTTTTATTCCATACTTTGTTTGATATCTCCATTATAGATAGTATACTTATTAGTCCCCGGGGACTATTAATTTGCGTTCGTACTGTATGTTCGTACGACTGTACGACCGTATGTCTCTACGTACGTCCGGAGCTATATCTCAGACACCCATTGGTGGATTTCATTCAAACTTTACATGAAGACAATACATAATGTCTTACATATGCACTTCAAGTTACTTTATGATCAGAGCAAAAATGGACGCTTTTGGATGTAAAATTTGCTATTTCTGATACCTAAACGTGTCTGCAGCAGTTCCTCAGAGATGACTGGGCCGATTTGGGTCAAAGTTGGTATGATGATCATACATATTGGGTTGTAGGTTCTGTAATTCGAACAAACATGGCTGACTGGTGGCCATCTTGTTTTTCATGGTTCCCATGCTACTTTATCTTGAATGCAATGAACGTTTCTGTTTAAACTTTGTACAAAAATAGTATACATCAACATGATTTTTGTGATTCAATTCAATATGGCTGGCAGACGCCCAATTTTTATGTAAAAGCGCTAAATCGTCATTTTTTACATGTTCCAAGCTGTTTCTCAGAGATGACTAGGCCAATTTGGATCAAAGTTGGTATGATGGTCATACATATTGGGTTATAGCTGTATGTCATATTTTTTCTGTGATTCAAACTAATATGGCTTACTGGTGGCCATTTTGTTTTTCATGATACCCATGCCTACTTTCCCATGAATGCAATGAACATCAAATTGATATGTCAGATTACAAAACGGGGACTGTGTCATTAACAATGACTTGTTACAAAATGATGCAACTAATATGCCAACTGACTTGACACCTTTACATCAGCTGTTTGTAAAACAGTTTATTTATATTTTCTTTGCATTAGATTATAGTTACCCATGTTTACTAACAAACAGTACTTCAATCATAGACCTTAATCTAAGATCTATGCTTCAATGTACAATTTTTCAGTGTTAAACAGTTACATGGATGTACCCCCAATCGCATATAAGGAGTTATAGAACCAAAGAGTTTGGATTTAAGTTGTACATATGTCAGGTTTGAAGTAGCTGGTGAAATAATTATGATTTAACTTTAATTTTTTTCAATCACCATTTGCCTCTCTTTATTGGGTTTTAGGTGAATTCTTAAGTAATGCAACACTCTCAACATGACTATATGTGCATATCTCAGTGGTATGAATTGCTGTAAATCACTTCATCATTTTTTGCCATACAATTGTTTTTATTACAGTGAATTGGAACTTGACTGTCCTCCCAGGACATGCTGGTCTGGACTGTGTGGCTATCCTACCATTGCTACATCTATCAATGTCGTCAGTGCAGCTGGTTTACAGAAAATGGACAGATTTGGAAGTGAGTTTTTATGTATACAACACAAATTAGTTTTTGTTTGATCAAATGATGAACTATAGAATAGAATAGAATAGAATAGAATAGAATAGAATAGAATAGAATAGAATAGAATAGAATAGAATAGAATAGAATAGAATAGAATAGAATAAAATCGAATAGAATAAAATCGAATAGAATATAGAATAGAATAGATTAGAATAGAATAGAATAAATAAATAGAATTCCTTATTATTACTGCAGAGATGTGATTTCGTTTTTGGTTAACAAGTTAATAAAGGTTTTGACATAGTTGAGCAATTATAAAACTATCAGTGAATTTTGAAGATGAGACATTCTACATATTGGGCATTATCTATATGTACCGGTAGTGTGCTACTAGATCTAGATTCAGATTGGGTCAATTAAGCGAAATAATAGCATACATAACAGTTTAACCCATAAAGATGTGGCATGCAGTAGTTTTATCAATTGTGTCAATATAAAACTATGGCTTTCTAATCATCATGTGATGTGTTAAATATGTAGGTGCAGATGCCTATGCTTATATCAAATCTGAGGGGAAACATATAAATCACCAATTAAAAAAGATCAACTGAATCCTGAATGGCAGTTTAGCATCATATTGTATAGGAAAAAGCCCCAGCAGCCAATCACTGTACAGGTAAGAAAGCTTTCAAAGAAATAAGTGAAAATATACCAATTGGCAATATTTCTTAATACTGCACTCTCAGCTATTAGTTCCCATTTAAACAAAGTCCCTAACATTGACATATAGTTTAGTCGTTTAGTCCTTGTGTGTACATAGGTGCATGCATCCAAAGCTGTGTCTCAGACATGTCTAGAACCAGATATACTGGATGTGTGTTGTTCAATTTACTTTAACTTGATGGATGGAATAACTATTTCGAATAGTTGATGCACCACACTTTGATATGTAATTTTATTCTGAGATGGTTGACTGACAGCCATTTTGTTGTTAACTACTCGGTAATTCTATTTTAGAATATATCTTGTACATGCTTTAAGCAATTCACTTTATACATAGACAGAATATCATGACATACATATACACTTACAATAATTTTATCATCTGATCAAAGATGGTCAACTTCTGACCATTTCGATTGTTAAAATACACATAATTTGTCACCTGATCTAAGATTGCCCACTGGTATTGTGACATGTCCAAAACCAGATCTTAGACATGTGTTGTTGATTTTCTTCAAAATTGCTGACCATTACCGGTACCACAGATTGGTACTTGTTACATTGATTTGTCAAAGTCTAGTAAAGTCTACTAAAATACTGCAACATTATGAGCTTTTTGCGATGTAAAAAAAATGCGCAAGACTAGGAGCTGAATTATCCCCAAATATGTATTGTTTTGAAATTGAACATAAATGAATTATGTGCTTTGGTCATTTTATGAGTAACCAATGATTTATTTTATGAACAGATTTGGAACAGCAATCTTATTAAAGATGAATTTATGGGTGAAGCAATTATTATGGGTCAAGCTGATGGCGAACCGAAACATTTCTCTGCAACGCTAAATGACAAAGGGAGGAAAGCAAATGAAAAAAAGCCTGGTTCACTGAATATTACCATGACTACCACATCCAATATCAAAGCTTTGTAAACAAATCAAAATTGGCAGATATCCTATAACACCAATTCTCTGTTGAATTGAAAATTGCACGTACTCCATTTTTGATCAGGTGACCTCAGATTTGTTGAACAAGATGTCACAGCAACACCTTATAACAAAGTACGTTAGAAAGGGCACTATTTTGTATAAATACCATATTTCTTTAGAATTTTAAAAAATATATTATACAAATAGTTTAACAGATAATTAGGTATATGATTATAATAGACTAACTAATGTCATCAACAATGTGTTCTAATTACCTGAATTCTTCCGGATTTTATGCTCATAAACCTAAAATTTTACTTTTATCTCAAAATTTTACTTTTTAATTATATCGTAAAAAGCAAGTCAATTATTGATTATATTATGCATGTGTGTATTACTTTAATAGAATAGTAAGAGAGGAAAAACACTGCATTGAATTCCCATTTTGTCATTTTGAACATTCGTAATAGTATGCATGTGAATGATTCTACTATTGCCTTGAATTAAATAAATTATCTGTGTGTGTAGTATTTATAGATTGGGTCAATGAATGTGATATAGAAGCTCAAGCTGCCAATCAGAATACTTCACTTAATTGTTATTTATAGTATAATGATGCAAGTTATGATAATGAGGTGTTTATAGTGCCTTGATTCTACTCTCATGCTACATGTTATGATAATGAGGTGTTTATAGTGCCTTGATTCTACACTTGCCCTACATGTTATGATAATGAGGTGTTTATAGTGCCTTGATTATTCATGCACTACATGTTATGATAATGAGGTTTTTATAGTGCCTTGATCTACACTCTCACTACATGTCATGATAATGAGGTGTTTATAGCAGAGCGATGCAACCCGCCACTTCATGGTGTAATTTTGCACAGCTTCACCAACAGAAGGTATAGATGAAATTTACATTAAAATCAAAGATAATAAGGTATTTATAGTACGTTGATCAACCATTATTACACTAATGAGGTGTTTATTGTACACTATAATTCAATGCATATAATACATGTTTATTTATATCCAACTGCTTCACATCAAATAGTTCAAGCATAATACTTTTACTCAAGTCATTATTTGTTTTTTTATTGAATCTAGCAATAATAATCATTTTTTATGACAATTTGTTGCATTTTTTAGCAATATTTAAAATTTTGATCAATATAGTTTTTGCACATACATTGTAAAGGTTTTATTGTACATAATTGAATAAATGTGCATTTTCTTTTGAACACATTGCTCTAAGTGAATAGTTTTTTTTTTGTTTTTTTTTTGTGTTTATCTATTTTAGTAATTATGCTACAACT